TAGTACTACGTACGTGTGTGTGTGTGTGTGTGTGTGTGTGTGTGTGTGTGTGTGTGTGTGCACTATACGTACATACATATACTGTTTGGAGACAAGAGTGGTGGTGATCTTTCGGCACGAATGTTTGCGTGCATGTATGCCCTGTGCTCATTCACGTCTATGTCAGCTTATAGTCTGATAACCCCTCAAGACCACGGAAGAGGTAGGGCGAGATTCTTGCTCAATCTCCAACGAGACATATGCACATGTACCAAACTTTCCCACAATTTCAATATTTCATCGTATGACTGGATCCTCTCTATTGTACTATCTTCTTATTCAAATATTGGTTTAGTAGTGTCTGTGTACTGCAACACAAGAAACCGCAATGAGACCCCGTGCCCTATGAAGAGGAGGTTCCGACGCACAAACCAGATGCCCTGCACCCACTTTTCAGGTGCAGGACTATCGGCCACGCACCTGGAGTGCAATATCGGAGACGTAGGGCTCCAGCGGTTACGTTACGCGGCGGTTGCTGCCCTATATCACACTGTATTGTTTTTTGTGTCTGCTGTTTGCTGTGTAGCTACACAAGTATTCCGAGTATACCGTCCTATTTAAAGTGTGCGGCTTATGATTGTCACCTACCACCTGCAGCCTCTACAGATGCAGTGACCGCTGTGCCCACCCCAGCACAAGCCAAGACGGGGCAGGACATGATCGACGATCTCTTTGACGACGTCGACTTTGATGATGAGATATATGATATGGTTGATGCACTCCAAGGTGTGGATAGCTGTTTTTTCGGTACGCTCGTGTGTATGTATCATAAAACACTTGATGTGTGTATGTATCAAACACTTGATGTATGTATGTATCAAACACTTGATGTGTGTATGTATCATAAAACACGTGATGTATGTATCTATCATAGCACGTGGCGTGTGTATCTATCATAAAACACTTGATGTGTAGCCACATACATCGCAGGGGTTCTCTGTGTTCTTTCGGCGTTGTCCTGGTCTGTTTATTGCACATATCTGATGGACATAGCTCACCAGTATAAACTTTGCGTACTATTATATCGACATCGCCGCAGGATGGCGTGTGTGTGTGCTCATTATAGCGATAGCATAGGCCACACCGTGTTTCTTTACCTTCAGCAGCTGTGCCTAACTTTGGGTTAGTATAAACAATTGCGACTATATTTATAAGCACACTCAGGTGACATTGACTGGTACTGCTCCCGTGGCATGACCGTACGCTACATGTGCGTTGTTGGTATGGATTTAATCCAAGGCCTCCTGCGAAAGTATATCCAACAGAGTGTTTGTTTCATATCAGGACAAAGTTTGGATTCATCTGCCGAAACGCATTGCTTGCCGTACCCTACACCACCGCAGACCAGCCACAGCGCCCCCACATCCCGTACAAACGCTTTACCATCACCAAACGCTCGGACGAGCACTTTGTACCAGTCGAGGGCAGTGGGATTGTAGACACCAACGAGACACTCTTACAGCTCACAGCTGAAGACGGGTCTATCACGTATGTGCTGAAGTTCATTTCCATGCTATGCGAATGTTAACGCGCGTGTCGTATCTAACTTCCCGTCTATCACGTATGTGTTGCACCTCAAGTTCATGTCCATCCTATGTGAATGTTAAAGCGGGTGTCTTACATAACTTGTCATGTGGTATTGAACCCGTTTGTTCGTAGCGACCCTCCACGGAAGAGGTCTGAGACTAAAAAAAATTTGTTTGGAAAAAAATTATGACCATGAGGAGGCTATGCAGGTTGAGTTTCATGCCCCGTTTTTTTGCATACAGGACGGCTCATGTACGTGACGATTGGCGTATGGTGGATATGCAGGAGAACGATGTAGTACATGTTATATACGACACTGTAATCAGTACAGACTCACGCGATGTGGTGATCGACAACAGAAAGGTATACCCATTACATGACACACTTGTGTTCCCTACCTCAACAACGTATATGTTGCTTATAGAAAGCTGGTGGACACCACCTCCACCGGATGTCCAG